ATATATATATTATGTCATGCCAGAGAGTAGCAGAAGGACTCACACCAAGTGTGGCAACAATCGACATTTTTTCTCTGCGTGTGCCCACGCGCGAAAGGTCTCACCCGCTTTTCTGGGGCTGCAGATTCCATGGGTGTTGGCCTGGATCACAGAGCAGTCGCAATGGAACTGAAGGTGCCGATTGTCCGGCGCCAACAAGAGAGTCAGTCACAAAAGCCAGCGCCACGTTTTCATCTACAGAGTGGGTATGGTGCCCAAGTCGATGACAATTTACGTGCTCGCATCGAGTTCTGCGAAGAATATGGAGCAACACCGTCAACTACAATAGTGTGTGTGTGTGTGTGCGTGGGAAATTTGAGGATGTCTGTCGCGATCAGCTCGTGAAAATGAGAACGGAGGCGCGACAAAGGAACAACACCACAACCAGCTACCGCCCCATTTTCTCCTGTTGGTGTCTGAAAAACAGGCCTCCCGGGCAGGAGGGGCAGGGCGAAGGCCAGCGAAAGTTATCAGTGAGGAGATACAGCGTGAATTCGGAACATGGGAGCGGGAACGGACAACAGAGCGCATTGATGCGATCCTGGAGAATTTCGCGAAGATTGGTCGCATCCACGATATACAACAATTTCAAAAAGCGACGGCTCACCAATGTGGTTGATATCTTTGGGAACCCGCGTTCGGACAGACAAGGCATCGTCGACGTTTTCGCCGCGTTATACAAAGATTTGTGCAAGCCAAGGGAGACCAACCACGACTCCGAGCTTGGCGTTGACATCAATGGAGACACAGCCAATGCACCGTCAGTTGCAGTTGAGGAAGTTGAAAAGGGCACAGCCGCAGAACGGACAGGAGTTGTGGCTGAAATATTCAAAGCCGGCGGGCCGCATCTGAAAGAAGCGCTGGCAAATGTGTTCGCAGACATTCTACGTAGTCCGCGGGGGTGAACCGCCAGATCCGTGGAGACACGCTTGCGTTAAGGTGATCTTCAAGAAAGGGGATCCTACGCTTCCCGAGAACTACAGACCGATTCTCATTCTTCCCATAATGTACAAGCTTTTCGCCATGGCGCTAAACGGGCGGCCGGCGAAATTCCCCGACGGGAACCAGTCCGTGGGCCAAGCTGGATTTCGCGAGGGATTTGGCTGCGATGACCATTTGGTGACCCTTGCGCTCATTCACGAGAAGACCAGAGAGTGCAACTTGGAGCTCTGGGTCGCTGCCGGGGACTACCAGAAAGCATTCGACACCGTGACAGTTCTATCTTGCATGCTCTGCGCCAGCAAGTGGTTCCTGAGGCATGCGTTCAAGTGTTGAGACGATTGCGCGCGGGACAAAAGTGTCGGATCGGGAGAGCCGGGCGCTCAATATTGAAAGGGTCTCGAAGAGGGCCGACTCAATGTCATCAGTTATCTTCAACGCAGTTCTCGAAGCAATCATGCGGGACCTCAAGAGGAAGTGGAGGAAGGGTAGGATTGGACTCTATATGGGGTTGCGTTATTTGACCAAATAGAGGTTCGCCGACGACGTTCTCTTGCTTGGAACCAGCAGAGCGCACATGCGACGGATGTTGGCATACTTGCGCGAGAAGGCGCGCTCTGCCGGCTCGCTGCTTCACATCGGCAAGACAAAGATCCTGTCCAACGTGGCGGACCGCAAGGGAATGCTGCGACAAAAGGACTTCGAAGCTGGCGAAGGGAGTCGAATTCCTGGAGTACGAGGACAGCGCCAAGTACTTGGGCAGACAGTAAACGTTCAGCGATCACCACGACGTGGAGATCAACCACAGGATCTCGAGGGGGCGGGCTGCTTTCGGAAAGTTCAGATCCGAATTGTGCAATCGACATTATCTCTTGCAATCCAGGCTGAGGCCGTTCGGTGCAGTCGTGTCTTCCACGGCGCTGTTTGGGAGCGGTGCCTGGGCGCTCACTGCAGCACGCGAGCAACAACTCAGCGCGACTATGCGAAAGATACTTCGGGAAATGGATGGCGCACGCAGGTCGCGTCGCCGTCCGCTTCCCATGCGAGTGCAGCCTCTCGGGGGGCACCCGTGCCCGCGCCGTCGGTCGACTGCCAGGTGGACGCCGGCTTCAGCGAGGAAGAAAGTTCGGATTTCTGGTCGACGAGGACGAGGCGCGGAGGTCTCTCTGCCGCATGGTGAGCAGGGTCGCCCAGAACATGCTAATCACGGGACAGCCCGGATCGTCCGCTGGACTGTGCTTTGGTTGAGGCTCTCTTCGACTACGCGTAAGAGTGACCCTTCGCCGGAGTGACCTTCGGTGCTGGCCCAAAGGGTGTCCGGGGATTTTTTTGGTGGAATGAGCTTGGCTTCGCGTCGGCACCCGCATCGCATGATTATGCTCGCATCTGAGCGCGCCAGGCTTGGGCCCACCCCTTACAATCGACAGCAACGCACACGCGTTGAACCCCGCAGCTTGCATTGGTTACCCGAAGGGGAGCTGGTCGACCAGACGGCGCGTTTTCCGGACCAGGACCAGTCCCGAATCCCAGCCCACATCCCGAAATGTGTGGTTGAATAATTTTGGATACCTTTGGATATGTTTGAATATCTTTGAATATATTTGAATTTTTTTTTTCGAGCCGATTGGGATCTTTACTATCATAAGTTTCCCAAAGATATTCGAACATATTCCAGGCTCTTGGGCGGGGCCGGTTTTGGCCATGGCGCCGGGCCTGGTCAGACAGACGTCATCGCGATGCAGCCCGGCACTGCCAGATCTTATCGCGGTGGCCCCCGGCAGCGTCTGGTTTTTGCGGGCCTTTTGAAGTGCCATTCGGGCGCTCGAATTCAATCGGCGGAATTCCGCGGTTGCCCGCTGGTGGAAAACAAATATTTCGAGTGGCGCCCCGCCGATCGTTGATGCGGCGCGGCAGCGCCGGCTTGCGCGATTGCGTTGGGCCCCCACGGGCGCCCCTGAAGCCGCGCGCCAAAGGTCATTCCAGCCCAGGGTCACTCCTACATGTAGTCGAACTCTGGTCTCAGGAGTACACTTACTTGTAGCACTTGGTCACGAAATATCAGATCATGGTTGCGGGTGGCTTGGCCCCTATCCCGGAGGAGCCCTACTCGTTAGGGTCGATGCCATGGTTCGATGAGATCCCCGAGGGTTGTGAAGACTATTGCGTTTGAGCGCGGCTGCGCTCTGGGCTGCAATTTTGTTGGAATTCGATTTGTTGGCGACGACGGCACTGTGCGATGTGAGGCGGTGGTGCCTTGTAGCATTGTCGCAACGGGTCGCCCCCGAGGTACTCGAGGTCCGTTCCCAGTCCATGTTAAAGACAAATCCTCCTCCTCCTCCTCCTCCTCCTCCTCCTCCTCCTCCTCCGCCTCCTCCCCATCCTCCACCTCCACCTTCTCCTCCTCCTCCTCCTCTTCCTCCTCCTCCTCGTCCTCCTCCTCCCTCCTTCCCTCCCTCCACAATTACTCAATATGAATACTATTCTCCCTCTTCCCCTGATGACGTCTTTTGCGTATTCGCCCCCCCCCCCCCGCGTATTGTTTTTTTACACACACGATTCCCCGGAGTTGGGTTTTCGCTTGCGTTTTTTTTCAAAATGCTGCTCTCGCTGAGGCGCCGGCCTCATTTCTGCTCCCGAATCGTTCCGAATCGTGCTCCCGCTGCAGCGTGGGCCTCATTTTCGGATCGGTGTTTTGCCTCCGTCGTTCAGGATGGCGTTCTCGCCCCAGCGCGGGCCTCTTTCTCGCGCGCCCATCCGCCCGCCACCACCGCGCCGCACCACGCCCCGCCCCGCCGCACGCACACCCACCGCCACTTCCACCCACCAACGCACGCACGCACGCACGCGCACCACCACCGCGCACCGCCACCACCACCGCACTACCCCACCCACCACCACCACGCTACACCGCGTCACACCACATCACACGCGCGCACACACAGACACGCACGCACGCACGCACACGCACGCACGCACGCACGCACACGCACACACACACACACACACACACACACACAAACACACAAACACACACACACACACACACACGCACACACACACACACGCACACACACACACACACACGCACACACACACACACACACACACACACACCGCCACCACCACCACCACCACCGCCATCACGCACGTACGCACTGGCCCACCACCAAACCACCAAGACGCCACACCACGTCACACCACAGCACACGCGCACACACGCACACACACACATACACACCACCACCACAACAACCACAACCACGCACGCACGCACGCACGCACGCGCACCACCACCCACTACGCACACGCGCGCGGAGCCACAGGTCCGCTACGACACGCGTCCGCGGATAGAGAAAATCAGCGCCATGGTAAGGGATGGGAGGGAGGGGTAGGATGTCAGATGTACGTTAACGCGAGCGCACCTAACTTGCCTCCCTCCCCTCCCTAGCTCCCTCTCCCCTTCCTGATCTAACGCGTCATCGTCCTCCGCCTCCTGCTGTTCCTGTTGTTTCTGCTCCTCCTCCTCCTATGTATATGAGCTCACTGTTCCGCTCACGCAGCAACTGATGAGCCGTATCGTACTACGGCAATGTGGATATCAAGGTCCTGTAGGACCCCCCCCCGCTGGCAGGTAAAAAAGGGATCCACCGCAACGGGACGGGATGGGGGGGAGGGGTGAGGTGCTAGATGTGGCGCGAGCGCAACTGGCCTGCCCTCACTTTCTCCCTCCTCCTTCTCCCTCCTCCTTATCTCCTCTCCTCCGCGGAAGGCGTTAGGCCCCTGACGATGCCAGCGCCGTCGATCTCTCGCACCTCTCTGGCTGCGGCGGTCTGGCCCCTCTCTGGGGCCTTCCCTCCGCTGGGGTGCTGGGAAAGCTGTGGTGGGGAGCCTCCCCGTACCTCCCGCAACTCCTCCCTCCCTGTTCCACCCTACTCCTCCATTCCTCGCTCTCCTCTCTCGCTCTCCTCGTTCGCTCTCTTCCCTCCCTCCCCATCCCACGCTCCCCTTCGCGCTCTCGCCAGGTGCTCCCCTCGCGGCCGCTCCGCAAGGCCGGCCGGGGGCGGGTGGCGAGCCGCAGCCTGCGGCGCCTGAGGCCCCGCGGCGCGGGGGGCAGGAGAAAGGCACGTCACATTGAGGATGAGGCTGATGATGAGGAGGAGGGGGAGGAGGAAGAGGAGGAGGAAGAGGAAGAGCAGGAGGTTAGGGAGGTGGGCGATGAGGAGCAGGAAGGGTATCCCTAAATCTGGTGGAAGAACGCATCCTAGCACTCCTTGCAGCGAGGGTATAGAGCTGAACTCCACGCTTGAACTACAGCAGGGGCAGCTTGCTCTAGGGCCTGTACAGCCTCGTCGGGGTACTCTTCTTCCTCCTCCTCCTCCTCCTCCTCCTCCTCCTCCTCCTCTGCCAAACCCAACCCAAAGCGCTCATTTCCCTCCTCCTCATCCTCCGCCAAACCCAGCCCAAAACGCTCCTCCTCCTCCTCCTGCTCCTCATCCGCCTCCTCTTCCTCATCCTCCTCCATTATTTTCCCTTGTGAACAACTCCTACCTGTCGCACCCCGAGACGTGTCGGCTTGAGACTTTCTCACCACTCATGGCCCTTGAGCTTGAGATCTGCGAAAGCTTCACAGAGGGAGGGCGGGTGCTTTTCAAAATGTGGCTCTCGCCGTAGCGCCACGCACTCTCGTTTTAAGTTTGCAAGAGTTTCACGGATGGAGGGCAGATGGTTTTCAACATGTGTTTTCGCATTCGCACCACGCGGATTCGTATTAAACAACATTTGCAAGGACTTCACGGATGGAGGGCGGGCAGTCTCCAAACTGTGTCGCTCGTTTTAAAAGTTTGCAAACTTTTCACGGGTGGATGGGTGTCCTTTTCAAAGTGTGGATCTCGCCTTAGCGCCGCGCACATGTGTCGTACAAGAGTTGTTCTTGTGTTTGACGTCCCAGGAATGGTGTCCTGTCACGGTGTATGATTGGCATTGCGCACTAATTAATTGCGTTGATCCGCGGAGGTGAAGGCCGAGGAAGGGTGTTCTGGCATGGTTCAGGATGGTCAGGACGCAGCAGTAACATTGATTCGTTGCGTTGAAGTTCCAATAATGGCGTTCTGGCGCTGTTCGGGATCTTCAGACGATTGTCTTCCAACGGGCCTTTCCCTTCAGTGTTGATGAATCATTGTAGAGGTTTGTGAAGAGGGGATTTAGAAGGAGGCATTTCTTGCAACATCGTTGATGAGCCTTGGGTGTGCACTGGTCCTCCCCCTCCTCCTCCTCCTCCTCCTCAAGGTCCTCGGGGTCATCGAGGTTGGCGGGGGGGGCCCGCGGGGCGACTTGGGGCTGGTCGCAAGGGGGCTGGGGCGACGAGGAAGCAGCGGCAGGAGCAGAACCAGCGGGGTCGGGAGGCGGAGGCTCAGGTCGAATCCCCTGCGGCTCTCGCACCCGTCACGCCGCGCTGCTGGCAAAAAAGGCGCCTGCCGCCACCATGCGGCCCCCTTCCCATACACATGTGAACCTGCAGCTCTGATCCAGCATTCGTGGTCCAGGGCTTGTTTGATTTCAAGGTCCATGGTATGTTCACGATGTAGTGCTAAAGGTGCAGGGTTTTCTCTGTTTGGGTCCCCCAAACCGTTTGCTCCAGGGTTCTCAGCGAAGATCCATAAGGCTGGCCACAACACCTTCCATCAAGCCCTTGACCCTCGCCCAGTGCCGAGGTCCCGCTCGGGCGAGCCCGACCGCCTTACTCCAAGCGATCTCCACTGGTCGCATTCGATCTGCTAGGAGGGGAAGGATGCCGAGCCAAGCAGCAATGACCTGGACGCGGCCGTAGGCCAGAAGGCCATCCGTTTCAGCGACACCAAGCCTTATGCACGTTGTCGGGCATCCTCCTCCTGGCAGTTTGTAGCCAGTAAGCGCTGCCACTGTTCTCCGCATCTGAAGCAAAGCAGTTGAACTTGGGCCTTGGGCCGCAAGTCTATAAGTGGAGGCCGGACGGTCTCCCGTCTTAGCCAAAAGTCTGGCGTGTGGGATTGCATTGGCCAGCTTGCGGATACGCAGAGCACGCTGCTGATTTTGCCGATCCTATCCTTCATCGCTTGCGTATCCCTACGAATTGCGTGCCCACCTATGCGAAACACTCTGGCTTACCTGAGCCACTTGAGGGCGACCCCAGAACCCTCGAGGGCGTTCGAGATCTCGTCCGCCGGTCGAGGTGGGTCGATGAGCAGCGTAGACTTGGGAGAAGCTTTCAAAACTGCTGCCTGAGCCGCTTAGCCAAGGCTGTTGCAAGAGCTCTGGCTCGTAAAGTAATATCGACCTCGCAGCCAATCTCCGTCTGCCCGAGGTCGTCGACTCAGGTGGAAAGCTCTGAGGGCCTGAAATCTGCGCGCATGGTCTCCAGTATCGGCCAAAGTGAAGGCTTCGCTAGATGGAGAGACTGAACAGCCAGCGATCAGAGAGCGGTCTGGGCGAATGGGCAGGGGCACTACTCCCTCTACTATCTATGGGCGAGGCGCGCGACGGATGGCCAGGTCAATCGCAAACACTGGAATTGGATTACTGACCCCCTTGGCCACCTGCGAGACATGGAAGAGCCGAACATGACAATAGAGCTTGTCTACATTCCGAAACACCTCCGACCAAGAGAAGTGTTGGATGGTGCGCATATTTCATTTACAGTGTCGAATGAGGGCTGCTCGCAGGAGAGCTGGATTATGGCTGCACTCTAATTCGCGATCTCCCACATCCGAGCCCTGCCCCACGTCCGGTGTAAGCCGTGAATCAGTGCAGCAGGAAGGTCAGCAATTTGATTCGTGGATGAGCTGAACAAAGTTTAGCAAAACTTGCGGGGGGGCAATCTCCTGGCCCTCCACGCTCCTGGGCAACTCGAGCAGGTCTTCCAGACCTTCCCGTTGCAAGCACCGTGGCCAGTTGGGGCTTTGCTGGTCAGCCCCGACTCCAACTCCGTCGCCTCTGAAACTCTCGATGTCCTGGGGCAATGTCCAGTCTAATGCCTAAGTATTCGTCCTCTTCACCACTCCCCTCCACCACCCCCTGCTCTTCCCACTCCTCCAGTTCGCCGGCGTCAGCGTTGGCCTGTACCTCGGGCATTTTTTCGGAATGCAGGAAGACCACATGTGCATCAAGCAAGCGGCAGTCAGATTGGGTGGATCTGGATGCTTTGTTGCTATCTCTCTATACTTCTCTCGTCCTCGCTCCTGCATCTCGCTGACAGCACTGCCTGACCAGCCCGAAAGTTACCGCTGGCCGTGGGCGCCGCAATCTAGCGCCTCTGGGTCAGCGCTAGGCGCCAAAAGTTACCGCTGGGTCCAGCATCTAGCGCGGCAGCCGCACTCGTGTGCGAGTACAGAGGCGGGGTGGCAAGAGCTTGCCATCTGATGGCCATTCCCGTCCTGTACGATTTCGTGCGCGGTTTTGATGCCCCTGGAGAACAGACGTCTTGCACAATCCGCAACGCCGTGAAACGATCACGACCGGAGTCCTCGACTCCACCCTTTGGCGTCATCTCTCTTTCTCTCTCTCTCTCTCTCTTTCTCTCTCTGCAGACGGCGACGTCCGTCGAAGCTGGCGCGGGCAGCCATGTACGAAGTTTGGCGACTCGTGCCTCGTGCCAGGCCGTGTTCCGTGCTGCCGAGTGGGCCGAGCAGCGCGGCGAGTGCTGTTTTCGATGGGCTCTGCCTTTCCGAAGCTACGCTCGATTGGCAACGGACGGTCCCCTGCTTTGCAAGAGCTGCTTGTCTCCGCAGGCCCGAGTTCGATTGTGACTGCTCCTGTGTTGTACCAGCTCTGCTTTGCAATAGCTGCCAGTCCGCATGCCCAAGGTCGATTGGCAAAACAGCCAACGCGGCGGCGGCTTTGTTGCACCATCTCTGCTTTGCAATAGCTGCTTCTCTTTGCAGACCTAGACAAATTCCATAAGACGCACCCCCCCCGCACCTTCCAAATCATGACCCAGTCGTTGAGGGAGACCGTGGTTGGCAGCAAGGTGGCCCCAAGAACCTCCCATATTCCCCCAAGAGACCCTCCAATGATGAGCTTCGCAGCAAAAAGAGATGCCAGGGAAGCGTTCGCAGGGACAAACACTCCACCAGTTCGCAGGGAAGGGCTCGCTAGCAAAAATCTTAGAATCTTGGGGTCCGAAACCGGAATGAAACCACAGCCCATAACCTGGCAAGAGAAGAAGGAGCAACATGATGAGGAGGAAGAGGGGAATATTCAAGATGAGGAAGAGGGAGTCGGCGTAGCGGGAGGAGGAGATGGAGGAGGAGGAGGAGGAGGGGGAGGAAGAAGAGAGGGCAACATTCAGACGGAAGCCAATGTGATGGGTACACCCGGCACGAGGCAGACAGCGAGGGCGGAGGACTTGGCGCAGATCCGGAAGGATTTGCCCCGCACATTTTCGGAGGAGCCGACGGTGGCTGCGCTCGCAGAGGTGTCCGAGGAGTTGCCCGTACCAGCCTTCCCCCTCTACCTTCTCCCCTCTCCCTTCCCCTCCTCCCCCTTCTCATTATCCGTTTTCCTCCTCGTCCTCTTCCTCCTACCTACTTTCTCCCTCCTGCTTCTCCCCCTGGTCGTCCTCACGCCCTCCTGTTGGGTCTCCCTCCCCCCCTTGAGCCCCAAATGCCCGTGGCGCTCCCCTTCCGCGCCGCCCTCGGCCTGCGCTCAGCCGCGTCCCTCAAACCCACTGGCTTTGAGCTCCAGCGATTCCCTCTCCCGCGTTCTCGTCGTCCTCGGCCTCGGCGCCTTGCTCGCCAGAGCTGTTCGGCCGCCGAACAACGGAGCCACGTGCGAGACAAACGGTGGCCCCTCTGGTAAGGTGGCGCCTCGCCCTCCTGGCAGCCCCGCGTCGGTTTCCCGTCCCCAGTGGCGCAGCGCCTGGCGCGATCTGTACCCCCCGGCACCACTGGTAACACCCGGGCGCCCAGGGCCTCGAAAAGAGGAGGGCGCGCTCGCACGTACACCAACTTGCGCCTTCCGCGCTGGCAGCGCCTCGGGAATATCCCCTTGAACCAAGAGCCGCGCACTAGCTTGCTGATCTGGCAACCTCTGGGCAGGCGTGTGGGAAGCACTTTCCTGCCCCATTGTCGCGCGGACTCGACAGACATTGGAGCGCAAATCAGCTGCATTACGTGTCCTGCGCCATCGCGGGCCGCTGAATGGCCGCATGGTGTGAACCCCGAGCCGCCAACAACTGAGTGTAAGTGGTCCTTTCGAGCCACCGTCAGCGCCAGGGCGTATCCCCCCACGGCCAACCAGGCACATTGAAAGTGATGCGGGTTGTCTGCGTCCGAACGGCTAGTGAGCGTCCCAAGTTTCTGCTGGGCTTGGCTGGCACAACGGGCCTCAACATACAATACAACCGGATCATGTTTCGCAGTTGCGGGGCTCCGATTTTCCGTATGGTTTCACACGCAATTCGAATTCATGTCCGTTGGCGCCAGCATCAAGGATCCATCGGGAATCTCACACCTCGACATGGGGAATGCTTGCTCGCATCTACACCCCTCGAAGCGCCCCTCGATGCCATTGCTTGTGATACGCGCGCGGCTACATTCACACAGCAGCAATGCTAAGGGTGCCGTCACCAGCCTGGCGAGTTTGTTTAAACATTGTGATGTCTCATGCGCCCCGCTGAAGGAATGCCAAACAACAACGGATGCGGCAGGCCAGTATTTCGACGGTGGCGGGCCTATTTGCGGCCATGGAGCTTGCACAGCGATGCGAAGTCAGGGCGCTGAGCCTTGCCCAGAGACGCGAAGTCTCACGGCGCGAAAGGTCACGCGCGGAATCACGAACTCCAGAAGATGTCATCGAGGTCTGACGATCGAGTAGGGCACATTCTTCTGTGGGCTTCCTGAGCGGAGGATCCGGGAGCCTAAACCCTGGCCAGCTGAAGTGCTAGCCTTCGACCTTTGGTTGAAGATGCGCATTCCCCGGGCGCGCGAGGATCTCGCGCAGATCTGTGATCCCACGAGGCCGTCGAATGTCGACGCGCGCGCCGTGAACCTCCTGCGTGGAGCCACCGACTCGAATCCCGGAGACCGAGGTCCTGGCAGCTGGCGCTAGCTTCCCACCTCTGTGCTTTCATATGTGAGTTTCCAATGTGTACCAGAGCCTCACGTGGGAGTGGGCCCTCGCGGAAATTCAAAATTTGCGCTCGAGCCGGAAAAGTCATACATGGGTTTTCATTTTGGACACCTATTGCGAAGGCCTTACTGCCGGTGCAGCCGACCCTTAAGGGGGACGACGACGACGACGACGACGACGACGACGACGACGACGACGACGTTGACGTGGGTCAGAGTCCTCAGGGATTCTGTTTGGGGTCTCTGCTGAGTGCTTTCGGAGGCCTCTGGGGGGCAGTTAGGGGGGCCCCTTGTGAGCATCTGGGAGGCATCTTGACTCTCGGGAGCCTCTTGGGAGCCTCCTGGGGCTTCCTGGGGGCCTCTTGGGGCCCTCTTGGAGCCTCTTGGGGCCCTCTTGGGTGCCTCTTGGGGCATCCTGGGAGCCTCTCGGGGCGGAGGGCTCGAAATGTCCGTTTGGTTTCCCTTGTGTGGGCACCCTCTTGGAGCCCTCTTGGGGGCCTCTTGGGCCGTCTTGCAGGCGTCTTGGGCCGTCTTCGGGCCCTCTTTGGCTCGTTTCGGGACCCTCTGGGAGCCCTCTTGGGGTGATCTTTGGAGCCTCTTGGGCCGTCTTGGAGCGTCGGAAAGCTGAAAAGGCGAGAACGCCCAAGTCCATGAAAAACTTAAGGAAAATCTGAGAATGTTGCCCCTTTGGGATCTCTTGGGAGTGCTCTTCGAGGCCTCTTGGGGCGTCTTCTGCCCTTGTGGGCCGTCTGGAGGCCGTAAAGACGTCTTGGACCGATCGTTCGGCGATTCGGGGTCCTCTTGGACCGTCTTGGGGGCCTCTTGGGGTAGTCTTGGCTCGTCTTGGGACGTTTTTGGGCCCCGGGCCCCCCCAGGGGAGGGTGGTATTCTGACCTGGGACCCCCTCCCGGGACACCTCCCCCTGGACCCCCCCTCAGTACCCCTTTCCCCCCACCCCCCGGCGGGGAAGGGATCAAAGGGAAGAGGCTTCCCTTCGACTCAACTACGACGTTGCTGAATTTCATTTCGCTGTGGCTGAGTTGCTTGAGGAGAGGGGCGCGATGAAAGAGGGTGGAGAGGCGACGGGCGCAGGGAAAGGGGAGGGGCGGCGGCGACGAGGACGACGACGACGACGACGAACGGCGGCGACGAGGACGACAACGACGACGACCACGACCACGACGACCACGACCACGACGACCACGACGACGACGACGACGACGGCGACGACGACGACGAGTCCAGCGGAACAGCACATTCCACACGCCGACAGGGCCGGTGGATTCTGGATATCCACCGCGGCAGTTGACATTTTTGCCACAGGGCTTCGCTTGAAGATGCGGACGCTCAATTGCGCCAGGGGTTCAAGGGGAACCGCGAATCCAAGAAGACATTCGAGTATACACGCTCGAACCAAAAAGTGCACCGCCAGATGCGAGACCGAACCGTATTCCATTGTCTGATCTCTGGCCTGCTGAGAGATGATCTTCCTCCACTTCGCGGGGTGCGCGACTGGAACACGTAAAGTCTGGGCGTTGCAGGGCTTCTTGGTGGCCTGATGGAAGCTCCAGGGGTAGTCGTTACACAGAGCCTGCCGTGTTGATCTGCCGTGCTGGTCTGTTGGAGACCCTTCATGGGGCCGTCTTGGGGCCTTTTGGGGCCGTCTTGAGGGCATCTTTCGCATCTTTGAGCCATCTTGAGCCGTCTTGGGCCCCTCTTGAACGGCCTGTGGGTATGTGGGCACGGTCTGGGGCCTCCTTCGGCTGGCTTGGGACCCTCTTGGGCCGCCCTGGAGCCATCTTGGGGGTCTCTTCGGCCATTTGGGGGCCGTCTTGCTCGAGGATCCTGGGGCCATCTTGGGGCCATATCGGAGGCCTCTTGGGCCGTCTTGGGCTGCCGGAAATCCGACAAGGCGAGAGCGCGATCTTTGATCAACCGATGGGGTTCACGTCATTGAGCCCGCAGAGCGGGAGCCACGAGCGGGCCCCCTTTTCGGAAAATTGGTTTGCAAATGCTGATGAAGGGGGAGGAAGGAGAGGAGAAGGAGGAGCAGCAGGAGGAGGAGGAGGAGGGGGAGGAGGAGGAGGAGGAGGGGGAGGCCTCTTGTTGGCCTCTCGGGGCCCTCTTGGGGCCCTCTTGGCCCTGGGCGCCTCCCTGGGCCAGTCGGCCACGCGCTTGTGAAGAAAAGGTTGCCGCGAGCTCGGGCAGCAACAATGGCCGAGAACTTGGGCGGCAAAGTTTGTCACGCGCTCGCGCAACCGCAAGCTGTGATGCAGGCCGCGAGGTCAGGCAATGCACTTGGGCATTAGCGTGGACGCCAAGTTTGGCAGTGAGCGCGGGCAGCAGAACCTGCGTACACTTTGCGCATCTATTTCCCCCGGGCTGGGGAAGCACAGTCTTCGATAACATCGGGACGCAGACTTGGGCGCGAGCTTGCGCAACATAACTTCCGGATGTTTCGGCATCAGAATACCCCCGCGCTCCAGCATCCGCTTTGACTGCACACGAGGGCAGCGCAATGCAATCCAATGTAGTTGATCAGAACCTGTCCATCGCCTCGTTGGCGATGTTGGGTGAGCGCTTTGGTTGCTCGCAGAATTTTGCCGCAAACCAGCACGTCAGAACTTGCCCAGAAGCTGGTCCGTCAGATTTGGGCAGCAGCGTGGTGGCCGAGCTGGGCGGCGCGAGCTTCCGAACCAGAACCAAAGCTGCGGCGGCAGCGTCTGGCGCAAGCTTGCGCGATAGATTGGCCGCAAGGCTAGGCCGCACAATTGGCTGCGAGCTCGAGTAGCCCAGAAGGACGCCACAAGCCTCGCTTGCATGATCGCCATCGGGCCTGCGTAGCAAACATGTTGCGCACTCTTGCGCACGGGCATCGTGCGCGAGCTTAAAAGGCAGAGCTCTCCGCAACGTTTGCGGAGCAGGACTGGCCGCCGGCTTGGGTGGCAGAAATGGGCGCCACAGGCTCAGGCCGCGTCTTGATTCTCAAGCGCGTGGAGGCACAGTTGGCCAGAGCGCGCGAGCCTGTGCAGCAGAGCTGCCCGAGGATGGGCGGCAGATCTGGTCGCGAGGTTGAGCCGTTCATGGGCCATCAGCTTGGCCGGCGCAGCTGCCCGCACACTCGGGTAGCATAACTGGCCGCGGGCTTGGGCAGCATCATCGGGGTCAAGATTTGGTCGTGAGCAGCCACAAATGTTCAGAGCCCCGAATCATCAGGGGTAACTCGGGTCAGGGATAACTCGGGTTCGTTTTTCGGGAATCCAAACCCGAGTTACCCCAGACCCGAGTTACCCCGGATAACTCGGGCGTCCAGAGCCCCGAATCATCAGGGGTAACTCGGGTCAGGGATAACTCGGGTTCGTTTTTCGGGAATCCAAACCCGAGTTACCCCAGACCCGAGTTACCCCGGATAACTCGGGCGCCCAAAATGTAGGCGACGGAGTTGGCCCGAAGCATCAGCTGCATTCTAATCTGGGTCGACAGATTTGGCCATGATCTTCGGCAGCGCTGCCTGGGCGATGTATAGCTCCAGAGCGCAACGCACATGCCTCTGTTGCAGCGTTGGCCACACGAGCTCGCATCCTAGTTGGCAGCAGGCGCATTTAGCTCCATGCTCGCGCTCGCGAGGCCTACAGTTTTCCTCCACGAGTGATTGTAAGAGTGCGCCATGTAACATCAATCATTGTTCTGCCTTTCGTCGCTTGACATCCGAATCCGGATCAAACCTCTGGGTTTGTTTTGGAGGTCGCCGCGGCGATCGCGGAGTCCACACATCGGGGCAATGTTTGTGTCAAGGAGCGGCATGCCCCTTCCCAGCGCCCCCTCGTTCTGCGTTGTAAATGTGTTCCATATGTGGCTCAGAGTAGCCATACAGCGATAGAGAGTTGTCCATCTATGTCCAACATGGGCAGTCCTGCATTCTGGTTAGAGGTCAATCTCACGTAACCTGTCTTGTCCGTGCGTGCTTCCTCGCCGCCCTCGCGCGGATCCCGCAGAAACGGGAACGCCAAATCGGGCATGCTGAGGGTGCAGGGACGTGAGCTCTTGGGCAGGCCGACGCCTCCTGTTGGGCGGCCTGCGCGAATGACCAACGCATTAAGAGAAGGTCTGTGGGCGTAAGTTCCCGACCGCTGAGACACAGAATGTGCCATTCTGTGCCAGCGCCAACGCTGCCAATGAGCGGCCCAAGTTTCTGAGACCCGCGGGTGGCACAACAGTCTCCCTCTGGGACTAATTGATTGTGTGCGGGTGCGAATCTCCGAATTCCCGAAAGGCTCCGTTGACCTGCACTTGGAATCACCGCCCTCATCGCTCCTCCCCTGTCTTCTGCTGCGTATCCTCCCTCCTCGCTCCTCGCGTTTCCCGCCTCCTCTTGCTGCTTATCGTCGTCGTCGTCGTCCCCCTCCTCCTTCTCCTCCTCCTTCTCCTCCTCCTCCTCCTCCTCCTCCTCCTCTGGACATTTTATGCCAGGGCGTCCGCCACCCCTTTGGTCTCAAGTGTCCGGGGCGCTCCTATTGTGATCATCCCTCGGTCTGCCCTCCGCCAGAGAGGAGCTCCTGCTCGAGTACGCGGCGAGCGACCCTGAGGTCGCTGGTCGAGATCAGAGGAGGAGGAGGACGATGAGAAGCAGGAGGAGGAGGAGGTCGACGGGGAGGAGGGGAAGGAGGAGCGGGAGGAAGAGGGGAAGGAGGAGGAGGAGGATGAGGGGATTTTGATCAAGAATATGATTAAACCTCCGGCTGGTCAAGACAGAAGGACACGCAACGCACAGGACATGTACGGGTGCCATGGCAGTTCCAGGAGCACACAATGTATCAGAATTCAGGTGGGGGCACGACGCGGTGGCTCATGAGTGCAACAGCTGGGGACCACCCGGACGAAGGAGGGACAGTGTTGGGGATTGGGAGGTGCAGCAGTCAGACTACGCCTGCAGATGGGACGCCACCATCCGCTGAGCGAAAATCTCGTCCGCATCGATGGACGGCGATCGGAACACATGTGCGGCGGCTAGCAGTGTGACATGGCGCAACCACCTGTGCATATGCAGCCTTATCTGCTCGTCCGCCACGCGAGCAGTCGCATGCATGGTGCCATCACGTTGCTGGAATCTAGACGGCAATTCTGCACGAGATCGCCTTGTCAGAACCCACTTCCAAGTGAGGGCGTCCATCTTCGACCTCTCAGGGTCTACTTCGATCCGACCGAACCGATTCGAGGCCGGTTTTGGCCAGCCCGATCCGATTCGACCCTGATATTTGCGGCCCGATGATTTCGTGGTGCTGTTGTGCATACTGGCGCAGCCAATCCGATTCGATGCCGACTCCGTGCCGATGCAGCCCGATCCGACGAAGATTCCGACCGGTCCGATTTCCCGATTCGATGCCGACAGACCTTGCCCCTCGGCCAGCAAGCACGGACTGGGACGGTCACGAGCCAGGGGGTCCCCAGGGAGCCTTTGAGGGCCTGGAACCTCCAGGGGTCGAGGAACAGACAGTCACATCCGGGCCTCGATGCCAGCTGGTGCGAGAGTGAGGCTAAATGGAGGTCGAACGCACAAGGTGGAGTCATCCAGCACCGCGATGCCGCTGTGCGAGACCTGTCCGAAGATGAATTCGCACGTCCTGTTTCAAGGGGAATGGGAGAACGTCGGGCCTAACAGCATGTTGGAGCTGGGGGCGACGGTGGCAGTGCTTTGGCAGTTGAGTCGTGCATCGCAGTCGCAGGGGCGCAGGGTTTTGCTTCCAACCCTCCCTCCGTTGGGTTCTCCTTTTGAATAGGGCGCGGGGGTCTCCAACCCAAGCCGACCCGTCCTCTCCTCCTCCTCCTCCTCCTCCTCCTCCTCCTCCTCCTCCTCCTCCTCCTCCTCCTCCTCCTCTTGTCTCATCCTCCTCCTCCACCTGCCTCCTTCTTCCTCTCCTCCTCCTCCTCCTCCTCCATCTCCGTCCGTAGCCATCTTGGCTCAAGGCAATGAACCGTCCCGACGACCGCGAGTCTCTCGGGGCGACATCTGAGCGCGAGGGAGGTCCCGCTTTGAGGCCACTCTCCATCCCAAGCAGTGTGATCCCTACCCCGCGGCCAGCTTTCGACTCTTCTTCTGTGAGCTCCTGGAGGAGCAGCACTGCCCCATTCTTCCCCTGTGCGCTGTGGCAGATTCTGCGAGGAGGTCGAAGAGGGAAGATGACCGCCGCCGTCGGCGCCGTGATGCTGACGATTCTGCTCCCTCTCGCTCTGATGGCTCCACTGGCTCCGACAAACCCAGTCGTGAGCGCTCGGAGCGTGGTGGTGGACGACGCCGTGACCGTGCTGCCCGTAGTGCATCGGACGGAGTTCGTCCGCGACACGATCGTGATGTTCGGGAGGACGCGCGGCCGCCCCGCAGGCCGATGGCTCCCCCGAGCCAGAGGATGGCAGATGCGGTCGTCGAGATGGAGAGAGATGGCGTGCAACTCTCGCAAGTTCCCACGCTCCCGCCTTCTCAGTCGCGCGGTTCCTCTCACGACCCTTGGGCTATGGCTGCTGCTTCTGCTGGTCACCGTGCTCCTGCGGCGCCTTCTACTCCGGTGGCGGGGACGGCTACCCCGACGGACGGGTTTCCCCCAGCGCCTCCAGGAGCAGCTGGCGGACCAGAGTGGGCCTCGTATGTTTCGCAAGTGGTCGCCACCGAACTGCATGTGCACACGGCGAACATCACCTCTCAGGTCCAGAGTGCGGTGGTGGCCACGATGCAGCAGGCGCAGGGCACGATCAGTGCGCAGCTGCAGGCTCACTTTGCCCCGACTATGCAGCGAGTCGAGGGCCATGATCTCGCCATCGGGGATATCCAGAGGAAGCAGCACAGCATGGAGGACGCACAGAAGGAGATGCGGGAGGACATCAATCGGATCAATCATCGTCTGGCCATCTCGGAGGTAGAGCACTCATCGGTGGACATTGCTCGCTTGCGCACTTCGGCAGGGACCCTCACCCCACGATCTTCACGATCAACGCACCTGATGATGTCTCCCCTGCAGAGGTTATGGAGCTATTGCGTCTAGGATTAGTGATACCAAGCTTGAGCTGGATGACGCGGTGCTGCACGGCCGCGGCCCCAGCAGACGCCTTGTCTTGGAGGTCAAGGGAGGCGTCGCTGGAGTGTCGAAAGCGATTGCCTTGGCCAAAGCGCTCCGTTTCCCATCAGGTGGGTGGAGGAGGTTCTCGGCGACTCAGCTCTCGGGGGCTACTGGTCCTCTGTTGGTTGACCCTGATAAGGCTCCAAAGCAGATCAGACGCGAGCAGCAGCCCAAACGATTGGCAGCAATTGCACAGGAGAAGATGCCCAACAAGCGATGGTGGGCTACCAGAGCCCGAGGACTGGTGCGCATTGAGGGACAGCCATTGGTTGAGGTCGTCGTCAGGGGTGCCAACGAAGCTTCCAGGCTGGCATGGAATCAAGCGGTCGTGGCGCAGCACAATGTGGACGTCGCTTCCATCACGGCAGCTTTCAACCGCGCCTTCGCTACGGTGGACACCAGCACCTGGTCGTGGTCCTGACCAGTGGGCTCAGCCGTGGCGTATTGCAGCTCTCGAGAAGGGCTCTCGCCACGAGGTTCAGATTGTCTCGTGGAATGCCAGGGGTCTGTGCTGTCTCAGTGCTGAGCGAAGCCGCGGGGCCCTATGCCGATCTAAGTTCCAGCGACTCGAACATTATCTTCGCATGCGAGCGGTCATATTACTTCGAGAAGTACATGGTTCGGGGTTTGATCTCAACTGTTTGATGCGGCAGCTTCCATATGAGTACCGAACTTTTTTCAGTGCAGCCTCGCCGCCTGGCAAAGGAGGCGCGGCGATTTTGATCCCGTGGTACAAGGAAGCCGAGATTGCGAAGCTACCTTCGATTGTGATTCCGACCTTTAAGCCGAGGTGCGTCGTCCCTGGGCGAATCCTTTCCCTTCAAGTTCGAGGTGCTGGTCGGGCGATGCACTTTTTAAATGTACATGACTTCGGCTTGGCTGCTTCAGATCGCTTGGCGGCGCGTTCCTTATGGCGGCGAGCAGCGACGTGGGCCCAGCCGGATGAACGTCATCGTTGCTTCATAGCTTTGGGAGATTTCAATGTAGCCAATGTTGCGCCAGACTCTTTGCTGCGACCTACGGCGAGGCGAGATGTGGAGGTTCGGGGTCAGCAGCGCCAACCGGTCTGGAGGGCGCTCTTCGACTATCGCATGGTGGAAGTGATATGTAATCTACCGACCCACTGTTGCAAGCATGCGCAGACCTGCTCGACCATTGATCGGGCCTTTGTCTCTGTGACGCCCGCTTTCATTCTTGAAACAGAGGTTGCGCTCTCGGTGCACCAGGAGGCAACGCGCCTTTCAGACTGGCCTCTGAGTGATCGCGCCCTGCCGCTCCTCCAGCTTCGACCTCGAGGGGAGAAACGGCCCGCGGAGCGCTCGATCCCTGAAGATGTCTTTGGCGTCCCGAATATAAGGTGGAGCCGGGCAAATATATGACCAACATGGATTGGGCGGGTTGCTCGGTAGCTGAACGCTGGGCCATCACCAAGGGCGCCATGATCAGAGCGGCCTCCAGGGTCCGCAATATGCCCCAACAGATTCCATTGGATGCCTCGCGAGATGGCGCAGGGGACGCGAGGATAATTACGCTACGCAGTATTGCCCGTGCCATCTGGCAGCAGGATGCACGCCTTGCCTCTTTGCTTCGTCACAGTGCTGCATGCGGACAGCGGTTCCTGTTTGTGGAAAGTGGAGTGGTATCTTTACCGGATGCGAGCGAGTTCTCCGGGGCGGTCATCCGAACTAATACCGAATGGCATGAGCGGCTTCAGCGACACGCTGCGGCGCAATCACAACGTGGAGACCTTCATCGTCAGGAGCCCGCCGAGTTGCCGCGTGAACAGTGGCGCAGGATCCAGGGGGCGTCGGCAAGACGGGCCCGTCTTTGGTGCGACTCGCGACGGCAGCTCATATTCCATGGTATTCGACGCAATGCGGATGGCCGCGCTTCGATGCCTCCTGCGGTTGCGGACATCCAATGTGCCCCCCCTGGTGCTGGGCTGCGCCCCGCGCTCGTGGTGCCAGGCTCCGCGCAGGCGGAAGGTGGACCTGCGTGTTCTTCATTTCCCGCGCTGCGCGTCTGCGATGCCTCTCATCAAGTCGCTGTATCGGGATCACCTGGTGGTCGGGCCGCTGCCCCTGGCAGAGGCGACCTTAATGGCGGCTGCCCCGCGCCTCGTGGGTCTGCGATCCCAGCGGCCGCTGATGTTTCGCGCGGGTGGGGTCATCAAGTCGACGTATCGGATTCGATTGGCGGTCGGACCATGCTCTCCGGCAGTGGCGATCTTAACGACGGGCCCTCCCCAGGGGCCGCGCCTCGCGAGCCTGCGGTTTCAGCGGCCGCTGTTGGCTCTTCTGGCCGCTCGTGCATTGCCGCGTCTTCGCTTTCGGCCTCTTCGTCCTCGCGTTCGCTGGTCAGTGGATTTTTGACGGAGTCTGATTCCTCCGATGCGCCGCTGCCGAGGACTGAGTCTGAACTGGCTGGCAAGCAGGCGGGGCAGTCAGGTGGTGCGCTTTGGCGAGGCGCCGATGACA